TTTCCATAGTTTGACTATTGTGGACATTGCTGCTATAAACATCGGGGTGCACGTACCCCTTCGGATCCCTCCATTTGTATCTTTGGGGTAAATACCCAGTAGTGCAATTGCTGGGTCGTATGGTAGCTCTATTTTCAACTTTTTGAGGAACTTCCATACTGTTTTCCAGAGTGGCTGCACCAGCTTGCATTCCCACCAACAGTGTAAGAGGGTTCCCCTTTCTCCGCATCCCCGCCAACTCCTTTGCTCTTTTAAGTTTTTTTTAAGTTTTTGCTCTTTTAAGTTTTTTTTTTCCTGAACAGTTACATTAAACTTCATAACTTCATAACCAGCAATTATTTAGATTTAATGCACTTTGTGCTGTTTCCTTTGCTTATCACTAATTCTTGTGGTACACAGTATGTAAGTGTGTATCTTATGTAGTATGTCCTTCCTTTCTTGGGTTCTCTATTCTGACATAAATTTGTATTTGTCTGGAGAATTTCCTTAGGTTTTATGCAGGAGAAGGTTTATCCTCAAGAAGGAGAATGGTATATTTTCTGAGTCTTTCATTCATTGGACAGTAATGTTTGCCATTCCAAAACAAGTCTTTAGGCTTGCATGGATCCCTTAGGATTATAGGTATATAGCTGGGATATCTGTTGAGTGTAGGGATGTCATGGTGTCTTGGATCTGGTGTTGAGGGGTCTTGCTATAGTACGTCATGTCCAATGGCTACACCTAATAGCAGGGAGAAGAGAGTTCTGATGGTCAGTCCTAGTGGCAGGGTCTTCTATGCCACATCTTCCCTGGAAGAATGTATTCTATGTCAGGTCTGGGTACAGTTTTCATGCACAGTCACCCCCAAGCAGCAGCACCTCCAGGGATCTGATCAGAACTGGGTGGCCATTTGCCTCCTTTCATCCCTGAATCACCATCTGGTTATTCTCTTGGCTCTTGGTCAAAAGAACTAATTATACTTCCCCATTTTTTAGAAAATTTATCTTTAGAATAATTATTTTTTCGATGTTACTATTTTTTTTAGTTTTTGTTATGAAATATGCCATAAATGCCAAAGAATATATATAGTGAATACATATGGTTCCAGGATCAATCATAAAACAAATGGCCATGTACCTACCACCTAACTTAGGAAATAACTTCTCTTCTAAGCAAAACTATTATGTGATTCTGAGCTGATTCTCCTTCTTCCTTTCCTAAGGTCGTGAGTCTGAAGTGGGTAGTATCTATGGCCATGGTCACTCCACAACAGTTTTCTCACACTTTGTTCTGAAAAAAGAGAAAAAAGTGTCCAGAAAAACCCTGAGTTGTTTGCAAAATAGAAGCCCAGATGATTGTGCTTAGTGGTTGGTGTGTCTGTGTAGGTCACCATAGGTTTCTCCTGGAAGGTATTCCCTGGCCCATTGCTAACCCACATGGCACCTTTGTGTGAATAAGAAAAAATCATTTTTGTCATTTGCCAGCAATTCTCTGTAATACCTATATGCACAAAAATCTACAATGATTATGAATGTGAGTAGCACCTCCTAGAGTTTGCAAGTCACAACCATAATTCGTGGTAAATGTAGCCGGTGGCTATAGGGCTCCTTAGGTGGGTGTCATCAGACATTTACTGAATGCTACTATGTGCCAGGCATTCTTTTAGTTGTTTGGCATTCAAGGCTGAGATAGACAAGATTCTTGCTCTCATGGATGCCCTATGACTAGACTTAGGAGCAAGCTGTGTTTTTGGGTGCACGAGCTGGGAGTCAACTAACAAGCTGGGGTCATTCTTGAGTTGGGTCAGGGCCCTGTGGGGGCCTAGGCTTTAATTTCTTTTATTTAGCATGTTGTCTGTGCCACGTTAACCCTGAGAGGTTATGTTGTACCAGGGTGATGAGTCCAGTGACCATATGCTCTGGTTTACCCTGAGTACTGGGTGAATTCTCTTGTCCCAAGTGATTATTAATATCACCCCTTCTCTCTCTCTCTCTCTCTTTTTTTTTAAGATTTATTTAGAGAGAGAGAGTGCACGCACGTGGGGGATGGGCAGAGGGAGAGGGAGAATGAGCCCAATGCAGGACTCGATCCCATGACCCTGAGATCATGACCTAGCCAAAATCAAGAGTCAGATGCTTAACTGACTGAGTCACCCACGTGCCCCCACCCTTTGTCTCTCTTAAAGGTGTCCCAGCTTTGGACAATAAATTATATGGTCATGTGTATTAGTCAGCTTTTTTGCCATGGTAACAAACACCTTCAGAATGTTAGTGACTTAAAACATCAACTATTTAGGTTTTGCTCATGGATTTGTGGACCAGCTGCAGCTCTGCCCCAGTCTGGGAGTCAGGTTTAAGTTTGTTCCTCATTCTGGACTTTGGGCCTGTGCCACAAGTCTTCCCATTATAGCACCTAAGTTGGAAGACTGAGCTTTATTTAAGATTTCTTCTCATGGCAGAAGGTGGAAGCCCAGAGTCCCCTGGTCAGAGGTGGCATGGGCCATATCTACCCTTATTTTATTGACTAGAGCAAGTCACGTAGACAAAACCAACCCTCTAGGGCTTGGGCTTGATTCTCCTTCCTCGGCATAGGGGGCGCTGTGGTGGGGGAGAGCGAATATTTGGTGAATAACAATATCATTAGCACATTGCCCTACTGAACCCTACTGCTTCCCAGCGCACCCAGCTCCAGCCTTTGCTGGTGTCTTGTAGCAATGTCCGTGTCGGGACAGCGCCCAAGTGACTGACAGGACACAGGCGAGGAGTTTTGCCTCCGTTTGGATTACAGAAGGTATTAAGGGATTTCACTGTGGTGTGGAGCCTGTTTTGGTTTTAGATTTTATTGGACAAGGTGGGAGTTGATGTTTGCTGTGGCAGCCTGGTTAACTGGGACAGAGTCTCCTCCTTTCTGCATCCCCAGCTCTGCCACCTACCCCAGAAGTTTGCGCTGACAGATTTTCCACTCTCTGTGTGAGCCGTCAGAACCCAGTGGAGCCTGTGTGGCCAGACCATGCCCTCTTCCTGCCTCATGTTGGGGCTCCATGAGGTGTGATTTCTGGTGCCCTTTACTTTGCCCCCACTGACTCTCTTTCCTGCCCCCATCCCTACCCTTGCTGCTCTGCACCTGGGAGTTTTAATTTTTATTGTTTCCTTAGTGTCCCTTCATTTGCTTGTGTTCAGTGTTCAGTACTAATTGGCTTTCCTTTAAAACAATTCCAGAAATTCCTCAATGTTACTGGTTCATGGATGGACTGAGGGAACCCATCCTTGTTTTCAATTGTTGGATAGTTTGCGGACCCCCTTGCAGTGGGAGCTGAGGAGAGAAAGGTGGCAGATTTGAGCTCACTTGCCCATGTGAAACTCCAGTGCTGTTGAACAGAGATAGAATACTATTTCACCAAAAGGACAAAGATCGATGGGGAGGCATAGAGGAGATACATTAGATCCGTCCTCAGCCCTTGGCAGCTGGCATTCTCTCAAGAGCAATTTTTCATGAAGAAACTGATTTATCATTTCATAAGAATGATCAAAGTACCTTCAGAGTCATGTTGAAAAGCACACGGGTAGTAGGGGGTCAGCTTGGCTCAGCAGGTGAGTGACTCCCAGTAGGGGCTCACATGCATGCCTCAGCAGAAATACCAGTTGTCTCACATCATGGATCGTTGGCATGCTGTGGATAATTGATATTGTGAAAATTAACTTATTCCTAATTATGTCCTTCACAAGAATATGAGTCTATGAAGAAGGTATGGAGTGTGTCTGTCATGTCCCCGCCTTGTACTATTTCCAAAACCTAGCACAGTGCCTGGCACGTAATGGACATTCAGAAAACTTTGGCTGAAGCAATGCAAATATTGATGATGGACTGTAAAGGCAAAACCTGGGAGAATACTTGGAGCTCCTGAGTGTAATGGGGCACAGTAGGGGCAGGTGGGAGTGTCCTTGAAAGAAAGGGGTTTACAACCACCACAGCGCCAGGAATGGGCTCCCGTTGATGCCTCAGCCTCCCTGGCTCCACTGTAGCATGGGGCAGAAGCCTGGAGGAGGTTGGACTTTGTTCTGGGAGTTAGGGGCACAGCCCCTGCACTGGCGTGGACCCTAGCGGAGGCCACACGGTCCAGGTAACAGATGCCGTGGTTGCGTCGGCATATCCACTCACCCTCACCAGTTCGGTGCATGCCTGCTGACCTCCACAGGCCAGCTGCTGCATTTATTTGAATGTGGGATTTTTTGGCCGCTGAAGCTTACTTTGCCCCTTGTGCTGCAGGTGGGAAATGCTCCTTGTGTGGGGTGACTGAGGTGTGACGCTTGCCCAGGAGGTGTCCCGTCCATCTGTGGTAACTGGCTTGGTAAAGCCCCCTTTGCTGGCTGCCTTCCCTGGACCACCTCCCTACTCCCCCGCCTGTGCTTTCTTCACCTTCTAAATAAACCATCTGCCCTTGAATACTTGTCTCAGGGTCTGCTACTGAGGAACCCAAACTGTGATGGTCGGCGCTGGGTCCTGGGCACCTGGCCACTGGCTGGGGGGGTATTCTTGAGGCTTCAGAGGACTTGAGCTTCATTTTGCTTAGACCCTTAAAACTCATATGAAAAAGAGAAAGAAAGCACTCTAGTTTCTCTTGTTTAAGAAAGTTGTGACTTAAACAGTTCCCAAATTCTATTATATAGCTCTCTGAAATGACTGAGTAATTTTTAAGGACCGCTGAAGCTGCCCTGCTCACAAAACCTCAGTGCTTTGTATTGCCGTGGTGTAGGGTCTCAGTTGACTTGGAGGGCGTTCCTGGTCTCCCTGAATACACTCTGTCTCTTGCTAGAGCAGACTGTTCATTGTTTTGAAATATTGCCTGCATGTTCCCTTCTCTGTGCTGTGTCTGAGTCTCACTGTCCCCGTGCCGGCATCAGGTGGCCCTGTGGCCAGCTCCTGAGGGATGGAGGGATGAAAGGGTCATTCTGCCCACACTGTGCAATGGATGGGCACAGGAAGAGCCATCGCACTGACCTTTGACCTTTGCTTCTTTGCAGATATCTCGGTGAGCCTGCTGACCCTCATGGTCACTGCCTGTGGCCTCGCGCTTTTTGGCGTGTCTCTCTTCGTGTCTTGGAAACTCTGCTGGGTTCCGTGGCGAGAACGAGGCCTGCTGTCTGGTAGCAAAGACAACAATCGGGAACCTCTTAACTACACGGACACAGAGACCAATGAGCAGGAGAACAGTGAGGGCTTCCTAGACCCTCCCACCCCCTGCCCTGACTCCTCCATGAAGATCAGCCACACCTCCCCTGACATTCCCCTCTCGACCCAGGCCGGGGGCCAGGAGAACTGTGCCCATGGCGTCCGTGTGCAGCGCCAAGTCACAGCGCCGAGCTCGTCGGCCCGGTCAGTAACGCCGCTTTCCTTTCCAGATGCAAGGCAGGGACCACCTCGCTTCCCTCCCTTGCCAGCAGTAGCACAGATGAGCCTGGGGCCTGTGACCTTTTGCACGTCCATTCAGTGTCAGAGACATGAATATGGGAAAACGGGGTGCTTCCTATGCTCCAGTGAGGTTCCTTACCTTTCCTGAGCTCTCCACGTAGTCTCCACTTAGTCCATAATAAGAATAGTGACATGTCAAGTTCTAAGAACTTCCTGTGCATTATTTTACTATAGTCCACAACTTTGCGTGAGATGCAAAAGTTATCATTTTCATTTCACACAAGAAGAAACTTAAGTCAAGAGTTTAAGTAAAAAAGTCCTATGTTGGTACGCACTCAGGGTTTGAACCGTGATTCATCCAACAGCAGCGCCTGAGCCCTTAACTGCTCTTCCCGCGGCCTTCCTAGTGCTATCGGACTTACGCTCCGTGCTTCTGACCTAGCCGAGCTCTCACACGCAGGCTGTCTTTGGAGTCCACGAAGTGGCTGGAGGCCTTTGTCCATCTTCAGCCTTTGCAAGGCCTAGAGTACCAGGCCTAGGGTCACTGTCTCCGTGGGATGCTCTGTGCTTGAAGCAGGAGAGAGATCATGTAGCGCAGTGATTAAAAGCAAGGGCTCTGGGGTCAGGTTCATGGCTTTACTTATGTGTGTGACCCTGGATATATTACTTAGCCTCCATGTTTCCATTTCCTCTTCTGTGAGAGAGGAACAGTGAGAATAGCAACATATGGGTGGTTTTAAGAATGAAGCAGGAACATGCACTTCATGCGCTTTGCACAGGCTGCGCCTGGTAAGCACTCCAAAGCCCGAGCTGCCGTTTTCATTCCAGTATTGCTCTTGTCATGATCATTCTCACTGCGACTGGCTTCTCCCAAAACTCAAATGTGGGCACGGATGTGTCTTTGAGGTTAAACGGCCAATTCTGAATCACTGGATATAAAGATCCACTTTTAATAGGAGATTTCAGGAAGAGAGATAAAGGAAGCAGCTTTTTTTAAATGAAAATATTTGCTCGAGCGATAGCCAGAGGAATAACCTGTGCTGTCATTCGGAAAGTTTGGGGGCATTTTTAAAAAAATCTTTTTTATTTGTTCTCTAGAAACAGAAATAAGATTTTACCCTTTTTTATGTTAATCAAGTTTATCCTAGAGACTCTGCACATTCCCATTAAGTGGGATGGAATATGACAGTTTATAATTTAATTTTTCCACAAACCTAGTTTAGCATCATTTCCAATTCTGAATCGAAGAGCTAAACCTAAAATATTCCTCTGTGAGGAAATGGATGGCTGTTTGCCATTTGATTTAGAAGAACTCCTCAGATTTTCTCACTAGGATTTCTCTTTAGATACAGACTTAAATATAACTGGAGCTCTGTTTGATGCAGTCATGGAGTTCATACCGTGGTGCAGACTCAGGATAACATTCCTTCAGTATTTCAATAACCAGAGTCTTTCAGATGGAGGATCCACTGAAATTGTCTCCTGTTCGGTTTTACTCTGCACATTAATTTTTCTGATCCGCGTCCCATCGCTACAAGGTGATAGATAGTACTGTGCTTTCTATTAGATTATGGATCTGAGGACTGTGCCATAATTCTAATGACTTGACAGCAGTCATATCACTCTATCACAATATTTATTTTAGAAAAATGTTTAAGTACTCTACACCTCGAGAAATATATTTCATTTAAAAATAAAAGCTGTGGTAAAAAAATAAAAACTGGTATCTTCACCACTGATTTATGGAAATGGGGTAGAAGGAGAAAAAGACAAAAAGGGGAAAGCAAAGGAATTATCTCTATAAAATGAACTTTGCATTTAGATTTATTTTAGTTTTGGAGTCATGTAATTATCTTCTCTTATGGCCAAATCAAGTTTAGTAATATCTGACCACAAGAAAACTATTAAACTCTTTCCAGCTGCATTTGACCTAATACTGGTAGTTTGCATCATTATGCATTTAAAACATTCTTATCTAAATTACTACTGACCTAGTGTTATGGGTTATGTCTGAAAATACGTATCTATGATTCATGGTCTCACCCTAATGAGTCGTGTATGGTCTTCTAATTCTTGAGGGATTGTGTTATGTTATAAACAAACACAAGCCCTTTTTTACTGACAAAATGGGAGAAATGAATGAAATTTCCTTCATGTTCCAAAACATTTTTAACATTCTTTTTTAAGTAACATTTGTGATACTGAATTTGGGGCGGGGGGTACTCTGTGCTGAGACGGCTCTCAACAGTCTGCTCTGCTAGTTCTTATTTCTTCCTTTTTTTTCCCTCATGATTTTCCTTACTTCCTCACTGCTGTCTCTTTCTTTCTTACTGCTTCCCTCCTGCAGCCATTGTGACTTGTCCCAAGGGTCCCAGGACACCTTCTTGACCCACAGAACATAAGGCTTAGACTCCCTGTTAAGGGCATCCCTGCTGTCCCTGTGACTCATCGGCATAGCTTCTGTCCCAGCATTGATATTGGGAAGCTCACCTTCTCCTGGCCTCTTGAGCTTGAATATGTGCGGCTCCTACCAATGTCTATGGAAGGCCCTAAAGATGGCGTTGTTTTATCTCCCCGGAGGGTTTCTGGTCAGGATGACTTTCTGTTGTTTTCCCAAGATCAAGCATGTTAACATTCTGTTTCTAGTTGGCTCAGTTACTATTAGAACCCTCTAAAGTTCCTGTTCATTCTTTTCAATTTAGATGAAATCCCTTTTGTGTAATATTCTGGGAATATGGATTTTTTTTTCCCAGAATGCTTCAATACCAGAACATTTTAGAGATCTCTATTCCAATTTTTTTTTAAGATTTTATTTATTTATTTGACAGAGAGAGACACAGCGAGAGAGGGAACACAAGCAGGGGGAGTGGGAGAGGGAGAAGCAGGCTTCCTGAGGAGTAGGGAGCCCAATGCGGGGCTTGATCCCAGGACCCTGGGATCATGACCTGAGCCGAAGGCAGATGCTTAACGACTGAGCCACCCAGGCGCCCCTCTATTCCAATTTTTAAAAAATCCCTGGGTCCTCAAAATAGAAGGAACCTTGACAGGCCACCTAATGCATTTCCTGATTCACATCCCAAGATGGGACCTAGGTAACACTTTAGTTTTATAAAAATTTCAATTGCCACACTGCATCTTTTTATCAGGCCTGTTAGGGCCTGCATGTTATTGCCACAGTCTCCTTCTGTCAGCGCTCTGCCTCAACGCCAAGCAGCACTACCCCGGAGGACATGAACTCACTAGGAAGTTTTACCTGGGAAAGCTTGTCACGTTCCAGCTACACTAGCCTCTCTCTCAGCGCCTTCAGTACCCCTGCCTTTTCCTGCCTGGAGGCCTTCACACATGCAGTTCCCTCTGCCTGGAATGCTTTTCCTTTTCCTCTCCAGCTCCTTTACAGCTTTAATGTCCCACCTAAAGCATCACCTCCTCAGAAAGACCTCCCCGACCACCCTGTCTGAAGTATGTGCCCTTTCCTCGACCCCTTCCCACTCTTCATTCTCTCACACGCTGCCTTGCTTGCATTTCTTCACAGGACTGAACTCTAACTCAATGATTATTTGTTTGCTTCTCACTTGTACCCCCTCTCTAATCTACGAGTTCTGCGAGCTCGGAGACCACATCTGCTTTGTTTCTCCCTGTATATCTAACACCTAGCACAACCCCTGGCATAGAGCAGACTTTTTGCATGAATGACTGACAGGATACGTGCATCAGTATCCAGCCACTTGTGTTCTGCTGATCAGAATGGCAAAAGGTCAGAAGTGTAAACTGAGGAAGGGCCTATATGGGATGAGGCTGGTAGAAGGCCTTTTGTCCAAGGACTTACCTTCATTCAGAGCCTTACGTGTAGACTTTTGGCTTTATATCTGAAAAGCAATCCCTAGAGTCACAGAAATATTCTGACGGAGTTGAAAGAAGATGACAGTCATTGCATTTTTAGATTCGGGTCCCATTGCTGGCCACAACTTCAGTAAGTGGTATGCTAAGATTAAATATTGTAATTACTCTAAAAGTAGCATGATTCTATTAAGCTGTGTGTGTGTGTGTGTGTGTGTTGAAAACACTGGTTAGATGTAAACATTTAAACACAACAGTTTTTTAACTACTCTTAGATATCTCTTCAGGTTTTAATAAACTGATGGCTTCAGAAATGGAAGCTGCTTAGACGTCTCTCAACTCCTGTGAGATTCTGAAACTAGATGTAAATGTGCATTTTCTCTACTGGGAGTTAGTTATTGGAAACTGTTATGTCCTTTGCATTTATATATTTACTCCAGACAGTTGTATTAAGCATCTGCTATGTGCAAAGTTCTATATCATGTGCTGGTAATAAAGAGGTAAAAAAAAAAAAATACAGCCCTGACCTCAAAAGGTCCACAGCCTAGTTGGGGAAATAGATGAGAAGAGCGCCAGTTACACACATTGAAGTGCTCAAATTGCTCTCTAGATTAATCTGGCAGGAGTGTCTAAAATGCTTGGGACAGTGTGAAGGCTGGCCACAGGGGCTGATTCAGGCCTGTGATGATGAGGCCTGAGCTCAGTTGGAAGCAATGGAAGTGGAAAGAGGCATGAGTTGTGAGCTACTTTTGAGAAGGTGTTGGTAGACATAAGCTCATCTTAGAAATAGGGAATAAAATATTGGAAGTGACACCAAGATTTCAAACTTGTTTAACTTGGGTGGAAGGTGTGGGAAGAAGCAGGTCATGCATCAGAGTTTCCGACTCCACTTGATCACACACCTCCACTGGCAAAGGTGGGATGCTTACATCTTTCTTATATCATTCATTCTGGAAGCCTCTGAATCCTGTGCTAAGAAAGATCCCCATTTCCTTCTGCCCTGTAGTCAGTTCACTGCATCTGCCCCTGTCTGAGACTTTCCTCTTCTCTGTCTGTCTGTGGCTCAGGACAACCCAACTCTCTCCTCTCTATCACCCGGAGAACTTCCAAGAAGGGAAACAATCCTATCCCCATTGTTTCCAAACTTCCTTGTCTTGACTTGAACCTAGTAAAGAAACCCATGTGGTTCTGAAATCACAGTTTGCTTCTCTCTTTCCTCTCCTTGAACCCCGAAGCTCTGTCGACACCGGTACCCCAGAACCAGGGAAAGGATAAGCCAAGTGTCACCTCTGAGATGGGGTCACTGAAGTGATGGCGGGTTGCCTGGAATTGCATGGGAGACCCAGAGGTGGAAGGAATGGTGAGAATGATGGACATTGGCTCTCCCACAGAGCCTGGATGGAAGATGTAGGCGTATGTGAGGAGAAAGCTGTGGAGGCAGAAGAGTTGAAGATCCTATCCTGCTGGAGAGCTGGGAGCCAAGATGGAAACTTCCCTTAATTTCCCTATTGAGGTCTATAGCATCAATTTGGAGGCTGATAATATGAGGCCAAGTTAAGTAGCCAGGCTTGGGGAGAGTACCGTTTCCTCCATGACCATTCCCCAAGCCAGCGGCCTCTCTCTCTGCCTGTGTGGCTCCTTAACGTCTGGTCAGTTCTTCTCCTCTTCTGACCTGCTGTGTAGTTAGCGTTTGACTATTCTATCACCCCCCTGGCCAGCCAACTCCTTGTAGGCGGTGACTAGGCTTTGCCTCTCTGTGCCTTCCACCCTACCTGACCCCTTGCTTTGCACATTCGTATTTGGTGAATTGTGGTATTGTCCTCTTTCTTAAAATCCAGTGGAAGTAGTTGGCTTTTTAGGTCATGGTTCAGGGACCAAGACTTTGGGGACTTGAAGTGGGATCCTGGAACTCGTTAATTCAAATTGAGGAAAGGAGAGGAGGAAAAGCTTTTTGCACCTGGGCTCCTGCCTCTGCTGACCTGAGGCTGCGACTCGGCGAGGCTCAGATTCCTTTCAGGCATTAAAGTGTTTTTGAGTTTGTTGTGGGAAATCTGCTTCACAGATTTTGTTAATCATCTTTGAAATTAGGCTTTCTCCAGGCTCAACCACCAATCTTCCAACTCAGATGTGGGCCAGCCACATCCAGTCTTTCAGCTCTCTTCCACGACAGGAAAATGTCCTCCACCTGCACTAAGGGAGGATGGGAGGTGGGTAAAGCTGAGGATCTCAACCCCAGTGTCCGGCTTCTCTAAGACAGCGTCAGAGTGTGACTTATTTACAGAGGACCCCATCTCTCAGCTTTCCTTTCCACCCCCAGTCTTTGGAAACCATTCCTTCTCCTTTCTTTCATTGCCCACATTAAGTCCCGAGAACACCAAATTCAGGACTTCCCAGACCTGCTCAGAGGACTGCCTGCTTCAGACACAGATCCCTCCTTGTCACGCTCACTCTGTGACCTTAAAATTCCAGACCTTTGCCCTGGGGGCCTCTAGTTTACTGGAGTCAAGGGCCACCTCCATGGACCATTTTAGAACTACCTCGCCTGGGCTGGCAGGAGCCAGATCAAAACATTCTGTTCCATATCTATCTTCTCTCTTGCTTCAGCCTTGCTTTTCCTTCCCACTTCCATGTGAGCAGCCTATGAGAGCGATGGGGTATTGATTTTCCATTTCCTCTCCTTTGTCTTCTTCTCATCCCAGGGGCAGCCTTTCTTGCTCATGTCTCAGCCCAGAGAGCTGCAGAGGTTAGGTAGGGAGGTCGCGAATTACCCTGGCTCCCTGACTGCTCTGAGCTTCTCTTGTCTGCTCGCCCACCCCCCAACTCCAGTAATCCCTGATTTGCTCCTGAAAGGAAATTGAAAGTGATTGAAAGAGATCCCAGGGAGCGAGAACTGTCATGGCCTGTTACAGTTGGCTGTCTGCTTTAAACCACCGCCTTAGAGTGGGATTCAACTTTTTCCCAAATAGTAAGTGGGATTCTGAATGGAGGCAGAAGTGCTGGGAAGGAAACTAGCGATGGAAGACGTTTCGGTGGATAATAGTGTTCCTATCCGTGCTTGATTTTTAAAAAGAATCTTCAGCTCTACTGGAATTTTGAATGGAGGCCTCCTGTGCATTTAGGGTTTTGTTTTGGTCTTTGAAGTCAGAGCTCTTCATGATGCCCTGCCCAGTCCGCACCCTTGGTCGCCTGGCAAGCCATTGTGGTTAGGAGGAGCAGAACACATGGGACTTATTTCTGTTTAGATTTCCTCTCTAAGAAGATGTACAAGTAAAATGGAATATGTTCCATCGCAAGCAGGCAGATTCATGTGTTTTAAATTTAAAATTTAAATTTACATGGCAGGCCTAGTCCTACAGATAGGGTTAAGACAAAATGTTGCTGTGAGGAGTCTAAAGCCAGTACTCAGAAAACCCAAAGGTAAGTTGTTACACACAGAGAGTCTGCTCGGCAACCACCTTGGGAGAAAAGTGGTAGCCGAGTGGCAGGTTCTGGGTCTAGCGCAGACACAGGACAGGGGTTCCATCAGACATTGGTCCAAAGAAAGTGCATCTTGTGGCCGTGAGGAAGCACTTTTAGTATTTAAACAGCATCACTACAGGCGCCTGGGTGGCTCAGTCGTTAAGCGTCTGCCTTCGGCTCAGGTCATGATCCCAGGGTCCTGGGATCGAGTCCCACATCGGGCTCCCTGCTTGGCAGGAAGCCTGCTTCTCGCTCTCCCACTCCCCCTGCTTGTGTTCCTGCTCTCGCTATCTCTCTTTCTGTCAAATAAATAAATAAAATCTTTTTAAACGGCATCACTAAACAGTTCTGGAATGGCCTGTTGTAGGCAGGAATTGACACCAGACCCAGGCATGGCCCTTGTTTGAATCTAGCCTGGAGGGAAAAATCAACAGCAGAGGCCAGAACAGATCCCAGCCCCTTATGGCCTCTGCGTAGGGCTGGATGCTGGCTGCTCCGTGCCAATCCCTTCTGCCCAGGGATCCCAGGAGGGTGAGACTGGAGCTCTGTTCCAGCCCTGCAAAGGGTCAGTGTCTGGACAAGCGAATGGCGGGGCTGTACTCTCACAGGGAGCTGGTTTGAGGTGTTTAACAGCATCCCCTGCTCTCCCCCCACCCCGCCCCGAGAAGTCAGAAAATGCAGAGAGGACTTTTAAGATGGTGGATTTCTTTGTACAAAATTGAAATCTGACAACAGAGACTTCGAGACCGCACGGTTTTTGCACATACGGGAATGCATGTGCCCTGGGCGTATCCGCTTGCGGGGGGCCATGTTGGCTGTGACGGGCGCACCTGACAGTTCTGTGGTGGTGTTCCTGTTGTACCGGGGGGGTGATGAGTGGCCAGGAGCACATTGAGGATGAAGAGGAGTGTTCAGCATAACAGCATCTATATCACAAGGGAGAATAATTTCAAACATGTTTGGGGGGCCTATTAATCCCATTTGACACCTTTGTTTCATAAAGTAGTCTCAAAAAGGAAAAGAAGACAAACTCAGATGTTTACTCTGCCTCTCCAGCTATTTATCAGTCCCCTCAAAGACAGCCTGGTTGTTCCCTTTCACCTACTGGTGGAGAGCGGCTACTTTAATTAGGGTTATTGAGAGATAACAGAAAATACAATACAATGACTCTGAACTCTGGGCTGAAAACAAACACAAATAACATTAAAAACAACCTTGCATGTAATGACTACTTCTCTCAGTTCATGAGGACTCACACAGATAAGGCAGGTTTCAAAGAGAATTCCAGGGAAACCACTAACCCAACCCAATAAGCTTATAGGGTGAAGAGTAGATTCTGCCAGCAAATATTTAATTTGCAAATATCAGTATTCAACCTTCTCTGAATCCCTATACACATTTATAGCAGCTTACCTTTAATTTTTATACTCTTAGTGTTTATGACAGAAATAAAGCCCTTCCCCCCGATCACATGGTATGACGGAAACGCTGTCATGGAGCCGCCATCTGCACGTCAGAGCCAGCAGTCCACTGGAAGCGGACGCATCCTGTCACATGCATTCTCACGAGAGCAAAAGCTGTGTTCTTATGATGAAATGCTTTGATTTGAACCAGCAAGTACTTACTTACTAATAAAGTTATAAGCCGGTGACAGGAAATTCTATGTGATTTAGAGACAGATGCGTTCTCCCTAAGACAACACGTTTCAATTTCAGGATGACATTATATGTAAAGGTGAACAATTTTATTTTTAAAGCAGTTTGTACAAACCTTTACATTCTGCCGGCTGAAAAAGCTTCTTTAATGGTGTATTAGTTTCGAAAGTGCATTAAACCTTTAAAGCTCCAAGGTCACGTGTTAGTAGGTTCGTTTCCTGATGGCCTCAGTTTTGAGCTTCAGGCCTTGGAGAGCAGCTTACTCACATTGATGGGCATTTTGAATTTAGACCCCCCCCCCAAAAAAAAAACCCCACAGATCTAAGTTTTTAACAGTACCTACATCCCGGGCACAAGTTTCTGAAAGACCCGTGGCTAATGAGGTTGTAACTTTGTTCTCTCTTGCTCTTCACTCAAGGCATAATTCAATCCGAAGACAACTCAACCTGTCAAACCCGGACTTCAATATCCAGCAGCTTCAAAAACAGGAACAGTTGACTGGAATTGGTCGAATTAAACCAGAGTTATATAAGCAGCGGTCACTGGATAATGATGATGGGACAAGGGGTAATAGCAAAGCCTGTGGGAAACTGAATTTCATTTTAAAATATGACTGTGACTTAGAGCAGCTCATAGTGAAGATTCACAAAGCTGTCAATTTGCCTGCCAAGGACTTTTCTGGGACTTCAGATCCTTATGTCAAGATCTATTTGCTTCCTGATCGGAAAACCAAACACCAGACTAAAGTTCACAGAAAGACCCTGAACCCTGTGTTTGATGAAGTGTTTTTGTTTCCAGTACCCTACAATGACCTTGCAGCCCGGAAGCTTCACTTCTCTGTGTATGACTTTGACAGGTTCTCTCGCCATGACCTAATTGGCCAAGTGGTGGTGGATCACTTCTTAGACTTGGCTGATTTCCCCAGGGAGTGCATCCTTTGGAAGGATATCGAATATGTCACCAACGTAAGTCCAGCATTTCTCCATTCTGGGGGCGGCTTCTTGGTCCACCTGTAAACAGATTACTTACACCTTATTTTTTTGCAGGGACGAAGTATAAAATTCACTTCAGTGTCCGGATAGCTTTTGTCTCAGAACCTTCTTGTACCTTCCCAGAAACAGGTCTTTAACAATATTCATTTTAAAAGTTCCCAGAATTATTCATGAAAACAGTATGAAAGCATAACATTCTCTCTTTTCTGCTTTCTAATTCTTACCTCTTCCCTAATTGGCAGGAGATATTATCTGCCCTCCTTACCACATTTTCTGTAGAGCTTTCTTAGGTTATTTGTGCTAAATGGATCCTGGCATCCTATTAACTGTAATCTGCAGCTGCGAAACCATTGCCAGACTCTCTGAGAGCATTAAGTCCTTGACCGTGTCCCCAGGTCAGCTCAGCTGCATTTCCCGTGATCAGATCTTCCTCTTTAATCCCAGAAGTGACAATGGTTGCGAAGAGTTGGCACCACATTTTTAAGCAAAGAATCAAAATGACAAGGAGTCCGGTTTGAAAAGATCTGCAGATATTGGCAGCGCTAATCTATGGAAGGTCACATCCAATTTAGAGCTCAGGAGAGGGCAGAAGTGCTATGTAGTGACACCACATGCCCATGTTTACATTTTAAATGAGATTGCAGTGGTGATATTATTACTCCATTTCTGTCCTTTTCCCCGTCCTGCAGATGTGTATTGGCACTCCTGAAAGACTCCTTATGAAGGAGGAAATGCCTCTTAGGTAACTCTGGTATTTTAAAGCCACTTGTTTCTTTCTTCCATCCAGATTCCTGCAGGCAGCTCTGCTCGCACGTCTCCTAGAATACGAGCCCTTCTGAGGCCAGCACAATTTTCATTCTCTGCCTTGGCATCCAAAGGCACCAAGCACCATAATCCTTCCTCAGCTCAAATGATGACCCAGCTTGAGTTTGGAGTCCAGCACGGGAAAGGCTCTCATTCTGTTCAGGAAGAGAACACACAAAATCTCTGCCCAATGACCAAATCCCCACACTAGTACTTTCTCGCTCCTGGCCACCTTTGTGAACTGGGGACTCACCCACACTTTGGCTCTTCCAAGAGGCACCTTCTCTGGTGCCAGGTGTGTCCTACTACTCCGATAAGCAAAGTGTAGCGTGGAGTTTGGCTGGTGAGGAAAGGAAAGAAAGAACTGGAGAAGGTGCAGGGAACAGCAGTTGATGAAACTAAGGTGATTTGGGAGATTGGAGAAGGAACAGATCTCTTCAATCTTGACAAGGTTGATATCTGTAAATCCAAAAATGGATGGTGGGGGAAGTAAAGACTATATCCCAAATCCCAGTTGCCAGAATCAGGAGGTAGCAAAGTGGACAGGCTGCTTACACTAAGATACGAAGGGCTCAAGGAGGAACTCTTTGATTGGAGCGTTTACCGAGTCCCCCGGGGAGTGAGTGGAGGTACTAAGGGCCAACAGGGATGCTCCATGGCAGGGGTTGGTCGCACAATCTGGGGTGATATCTATTTATATTTTTTAACAAATGGATTCCACAGAGTAGCTGGAATGATTATCAGAAAGCTCCACAGAGATCCTGCTCTGAGTGGACTTCTAGAGACTTCATGGGCTGAGCAACACTGAGTACCCAGTAGCTGATAAAAATCTGGATAAGGCTGGTCCCTGGTGGAAACATCTAGAACAGTTTCTCCTGGGATGAGAGTATAGAATGGCAGCCTGCAGAGACCTCCTGGCCCTGAGATCACTGCCATTTTAGCACTCCCCAGGGAGTAAGAGTGCCCGTGTCTATTGTTGGAGAATCCTGGATTTCCACTGATTTGAGGAGACTGTAAAATTATTTATGAAGGAGGAAAACTGATACGGCTAGAGGCTTCAAAACGCTCAGCTCTTTCCTCAGGCCAATAACAAATATTCTGAGCATTGATCTAGGCCTTTGGATGACCAGCAAGAGAGGGCAGGTTTTGAGAATGGAATTCTAGATTATTTCATAATCTGCCATATAGTTGTTTTTTATTGAAGTATAGTTGACATACAATATTACATTAGTTTCAGGTGTACTGCCATGTAGTTTTTAAAATTCCATTTTAAAAATTATTATTTGAGGCTGTTTTGATTGTGACTTTGTGTAGAGACTGAGCGTGAAGGTCTGAGGCTTGCCAAGTTTCTGGTTTTGTAATATAGCATGTAGGGGGCTCCTGGGTGGCATAGTGGGTTAAGCATCTGACTTGGTTTCGGCTCAGGTCGTGGTCTCAGGAATGTGAAATCGAGCCCTGCTTCAGGCTCCGTGCTCAGTGCAGAGTCTGCTTTGGATACTCTCTCCCTCTCTCTCTGCCCCACCCACTCGTGCTCTCTTTCTCTCTAAAGTAAATAAATAAATCTTTATAATATAGCATGTATATAATGTACACATATAGATTCATGAGGGAATAATTAAATGAACAGGCATGAACCCACTGTTCATCTGAAGAATAGAACAGAACCAGTACTTTTGCTGACCCTTGGGTTGTCTTCCCTCCTCCCATTCCCTCTCAGTCCACTCCTGCCAAGTGGAAAAACACTATCCTGAATTTTATTTATATTGTGATATATTTGTAAGACAATACATTGTTTGGTTTTGTCTGCTTCTGCTTTTCACAGCTCTTCTTTGGCTTCTTTTTTTCAGCCCACTTTATGACATTTAACAAAAGAGATCAGTAGATCTCTTCATCTATTATTCTGTTGCATTATAGATGACGAATTAGCTTTTTTATATTGATGATATTTAGGTGGTTATTTGTTTTTAACAATTCTGACTAATACTCTAGAGAACATGTTTGTGCACATCTCCTAGTTCACATATGCAATAATTCCTCTAGGGTATATCCCTGATACAGGTAAGATGCACACATGTTCAACTTTTCTAGGCCTCCCGGACTTCCTTTCCACGGCAACTGTCCAGATTGATCCTCCCACTGGTGAGGTACGACAGTTCCTCGTGCTCCACATTTTCACCAACTCTTACGGTTGCCAGTGTTTACTATGTGTGCATGTACATGCCTGTGACATGGTAAGTAATTTGTATTTCCTTGGTTGTCAAGGTTGACCATCTTTGGATATGCTTATTGGTCATCCACATTTCCTTTCTTGCATTATGCTTGTTCAGCACTTTTTCCTCTTTTCTTTTCCTTATTGATTCACATATGTTCTTTGTATAGGCTGGATGCAAATCCTTTGTTGGCGATGTGTATTAACAAACATCATCTCTCAATTTATGACTGTCTTTTTCCTCACTTGCTGACACCTTTTGATCAGTAGAGGTTCTTATGTTTAATGTAGTAAAACATAACAATGTTTTCCTTCACAACTTCGTGCTTTTGTGTCTTTTTTAAGAAATCCTTCCTTACCGTATGTCATAAAGATATTTCCCCTATATTTTCCTTTAGAAGTTTTAAAGTTTAGACTTTCCTTCTTTTTTTTTTATCTTTGCACAATTTTATTTTGAGTTTTTGGCCTTTACTTATTTTTTTTTTTTTTTAGAGTTATGTGAATCACCATACATTACACCATTAGTTTTTGATGTAGTGTACCATGATTCATTGTTTGCGTATAAGACCCAGTGCTCCATGCAGTACGTGCCCTCTTTAATACCCATCACTAGGCTAACCCATCCCCCCACCCCCCTCCCCTCTAGAACCCTCAGTATATTTCTCAGAGTCCATAGTCTCTCATGGTTTGTCTCCCCCTCTGATTCCCCCCCTTCATTTTCCCCTTCCTGCTGTCTTCTTCTTCTTTTTTTTTAACATGTAATGTATTATTTGTTTCAGAGGTACTGGTCTGTGATTCAGCAGTCTTACACAATTCACAGCACTCAACATAGCACATACCATCCCCAATGTCTATCACCCAGACACCGCATCCCTCCCACCCCTACTACTTCAGCAACCCTCAGTTTGTTTCCTGAGATTAAGAATTCCTCATATCAGTGAGATCATATGATACATGTCTTTCTCTGATTGACTTATTTCACTCAGCATAATACCCTCCAGTTCCATCCACATCATTGCAAATGGCAAGATTTCATTCCTTTTGATGGCTGCGTAATATTCCATTGTGTGTGTGTGTGTGTGTGTGTGTGTGTGTGTGTATACCATACCTTCTTTATCCATTCATCTGTTGATGGACATCTTGGCTCTTTCCATAGTTTGGCTATTGTGGACATTGCTGCTATAAACATCGGGGTGCACATACCCCTTCGGATCCCTACATTTGTATCTTTGGGGTAAATACCCAGTAGTGCAATTGCTGGATTGTGTGGTAGCTCTATTTTCAACTTTTTGAGGAGCCTCCATACTGTTTTCCAGAGTGGCTGCACCAGCTTGCATTCCCACCAACGGTGTAGGAGGGTTCCCCTTTCTCCGCATCCCCGCCAACATCTGTTGTTTCCGGACTTATTAATTTTAGCCATTCTGACTGCTGTGAGGTGGTATCTCATTGAGGTTTTTTTTAAAGATTTTATTTATTTATTTGAGAGAGAGAGAATGAGAGACAGAGCATGAGAAGGAAGAAGGTCAGAGGGAGAAGCAGACTCCCTGCTGAGCAGAGAGCCCGATGTGGGACTCGATCCCGGGACTCCAGGATCATGACCTGAGCCGAAGGCAGTCGCTTAACCAACTGAGCCACCCAGGCGCCCCTCGTTGAGGTTTTGATTTGGATTTCCCTGATGCTGAGCGATGTTGAGCACTTTTTCATGTGTCTGTTGGCATTTTGGATGTCTTCTTTGGAAAAATGTCTGTTCATGTCTTCACATTTCTTGATTGGATCATTTGTTCTTTGGGTGTTGAGTTTAAGAAGTTCTTTATAGATTTTGGATACTAACCCTTTATCTGATATGTCATTTGCAAATGTCTTCTCCCATTCTGTCAGTTGTCTTTTGGTTTTGTTGACTGTTTCTTTTGCCGTGCAAAAGCTTTTTATCTTGATGAAGTCCCAATAGTTCATTTTTGCC